AAAAAAAAAAAAAAAGAAGTGGAGTTGGGTTCCGTCGAACCCAGATCTGCTGGGTTCGCTGGAACCCAAGCGGGGTTTCGTCGAACCCAGCAAACTGGGTTCAATGGCCTACCGAGGAAAAAGAGGAAGAAAGAAGAGGAAGAAGAGGAAGAAAAAGAGAAAGGAAGAAGACGGAAGTTTTTTATTTTTTATTTTTAAATATAAATAATGTGAGTTGGCATAAAAAAAAATCCACATCATGAAAAAAAAATCCACATCAACACGTTTTTAATTTGTTTTTGCCACGTCATAAAAAAAATAATAAAAAATGCCACATAAGCGAGTTAACGATCGAAATTAACAGAAGGGCTAACGGAGTGCATTTCTTAGAGTTGAGGGATCAAAAAAGTGCAAAAAATTGTTGAGGGACCAAAAATGTGCAACTCACTAAAGTTGAGGGACCAAATTTAGCATTTAACTTTTTATTTTTTATCTCTTTTTTCAACTTCTTCTGTTTTCTCAATCTGTTTGCTCTTGTGCTACATCAGGTCAGGTCATAAGGTCTGTAGTTCCATTAGTTTCTAGTTATGATCACTGATATTTCAAGTGGAATAAATCTGTCTAAACGGGGATTGAAATAAGCTGTTCTTCTAGGCACGCTGCATAAGTGCAGAGCATGTTCTTCTCTCTTAAGGTTGTTAGTAAATACGTCATTAGCAAAAATGCATATCAGGAATATTTTTCTACTATTATTGATTATACTGATGCATAGTTATATGATCAGGTACAGCATGGTGCTCTTTGCTGGTATCGCAGCTGAAGCTCTGGTTTATGGGGAGGCTGAGGATGGGGAGAATGACGAAAACATGTTTTGCAGCATCTTTGTCCTTCTGCAACCCCCATTGTCCATAGCTCAGGTACATCTGCAACTAATTATTTTCATGCTATTACTCCATTATTAGGTACTAACTATTCTCACCTTGAGAGAGAAAAAAAGATGCTAATTATTGGTTTTCATTACCTTGAGAAGATGTCAAATCAAGCAAAGTGGTCTGTTCTACAATCTTTTAACCTGCTTATATTAAATGGCACAGGCACACTCATCAAGCGGCTGTCACAGCTTTGGAAAGAGGGGCTAGTCTTAGTATTGTAATTATGAGATTTGAGGAAGCCTTCCGCTGTCACTCCCATTCCAAATCGAGCAAAAATAAAAAATCCATGCTGCATTGCTCCGTGGAGGATTTCAGTCCATTTGAAGTGGTATCAATCACCAATCAACACCGACTCTTGTTGACCGTATTGAGATTGAGTCATAGGACGTCCTTAATCATGTGTAGTACTAATTTCCCCCTTTTTTTTTTTTATGAAATGCATGAAACACATTATTTTAATAGTTCATAACAAAAAAAAAGTCTTGTATAGTTTAAATTATTTTAGATTAATAATTTTAATTATTATATAAAGGTGAGCCTTCTGATTTGTCTTTAATTAATAAATTTTGTTTTGTAATATAAACTTATTTTACGATTTAATTAAGTTTGGATTATAAAATGTAAAACTTATTTCATAATATGGTTTAAATGAAAAAATCTACATGACAAGGACAATTATACATCTATTCAAATTTTTGTATTTAAGATTAATATATATATATATTTGTCGCGAGTAAAAAAATACAAGCAATGACCAAAGCAATGAAAGTTTGCAACCCAAGTTGTTGTAAAAGGTAACTAGATTAAAATATTTGATGTATTAACTATTTATTTCTTACAACTTTGGTATAGAAAGTTTATTCTCTGCCAAATTAGTCTTCAAACTTCTAGAAGTGTACAAAATGGTTTATTTGTCAAAGTCCCACATGAGTTTCTTAGCAAAATTTTATGTCAAAAGACTCCATGACACAAAATGGACATCAAGTAACCTAAGAAAATTACATATCAACATATAATCAACACAAAGCCTCTTGCTTCCTTAACTTTGCCCTTCTTTTTCTTTTCTTTTTTTTTTCTTATTTTTTTTTGAATAAGTGAAAACTTTCCTTAACATTCCTCATCTTAGGCTTTGAGAATGCATTTTTAGTCTTAGACCACCTTAGTTGCAAGGTCTTTATGTGGGTGCTAAATAGGTGCTAATCTAAATTTTCATTAGAATGTAACAATAGCAATTAAGACATTCCTATAAAAAAAAACCTATAAAAAAAAAAAAAAAAATCAACAACAACTAACACATGAAAGCCAACTAAAATACATAGCTTTGTATGATTTATCTATTAAAAACAACTAGGAAAATTATTAAAATTGACAAAATCAATCCAACCAAACACAATATAATGAGTCTCACCCATTTTGTAACTAATATAATTTTTCGTACTGTCAAAACAAAATTGTTATTTTCATATTAGCTTTCTCATCAAAAAAAGTGTTTTACAAGTTGGACTAAAAATTTAATATGCAGTTTAATCTATAAATTTACTAAAATTCTGTTAATAAAATTATTTTTTATATTATTTCATAAAGGGCATTTTAATAAATTTAAGGACCAATAATAGATTTGATTTTTCTTTTTCATTTTATACGGGATTATAAACTAAACAAGGGATGAATCTCTTTTTGTTTCTAAATCCAAATCCTTCCTTCGTTCCTTGATGCCTTGTCTGCTTTAAGTTCCTTTCTTTCATTGTCAGGAAAGCACAAGAGGCAAGGGCAAACCAATGTTAGGTGTCTTACGCTAGCCTTCTAAAACTTAGCACATATAAGGGATGTCAATAGGAATGGAAGGACTCAACTACTGCTAGACAACTTAAATTGTTTTATATCTATAATTATGAGTTATATAAAAAGAAATAAATTTTATTTTTTAAAATTTTTGTAGTTGACTTAAAATTCAAATTCAAAATTTGTAATTTAAAATTTAAAATTATTAATCATTGAGTCACCCCTTTGATATCTGCACAACTTAATTATATAAATAAAATTTCTTGTTATTAAAAACTATGATTTGGGGTTATAATCAAATATTCAAATCTTTATATTATTAATTAACCAACTCTCTAACATACTCTGAAAAAAACAGTTTTAAGACAAAGTAGGCCAACAAGAATTAAAAAAACAGAATTTACTGTTTAAAGACTTGTTATATATATTAAGTGCAATTGTGCTTTTTATAAAATTGAGTTAGATTTTATTTTTGTTTTTTTATTTTGTTCGAGAACTAACAAAACTTAAATTTGGGAGAATTTGATGAGAAGTGTTTTATATGTTTTAATTTATTATATTAGCTTTAATTTTATCACAATTCATAAAAATTAGTATATTATATTAGCCTTAATTTTTTTATTATTTGTAAGGATAATATGTGATTTTCAATAGATTTTACATAATTTTCATTTTTTGTGCAAAAAAGACTTAAAAGCATAATAGTAGGAGTTTTTGGGATTAATTAAATATTTCTTCATAGTTGAGGGACTAATGTGAGAAGAAAGGTTCTTTTTTGGGACTTAAATGAATGAAACTTAAATTATGGAATCAAAGTGTTCATTATATAAAAGCTAAAGGACCAATTGTGCGAGTTTACCATTGATGAAATTACAAAAGAGGACTAAAACCCGACACGGATACGGTGTCGATACATATTTTGTGGTGTCAACGCCATGCGTTGAGCCTTTGCTAAAACAGGTGCACGTGAAATAACTAGAAGTGTCAATAGCTAGATGCTGGTGTTAACACCAAAAACACGTCCAGCTTTAGTAATTAGCCTTTTTTTTTTTTTTTTGT